ATTTTAGGGTTCTTATTAAGAATCTCTCTGTAATTCCACATTTGGTTCAATGTTGGAAAAGATTCTTCTATACACGTAATCTTGTACACTTGATCTGCCGTTTAGGTGTTTTATGAACAATCTCCGTTAACCATATTCGGATTTATGAAAATTTAGCGACTTCTCAAAAACACAAGGTCACCTAAACATTTTGTGTAAGCATACGAAACTATATAAGTACTTCGTACAAGTTTACTAAATTTACCCAAACACTTTGTAAAGTTATACGAAGTAATTACAACGCTTCGTGTGGAGACTAAGAAGTCACTAAATACTTCGTCTAAACTGGGAAAACACTAAGGAAGATTGCATGATCTCTTATAAAATGTCTCAAACATCCAAGCGGGACCTCAGACTACGATAGTTACGTCCACATCGCCCGTTGGGCGAAGTGGATCAAAAGCATTTTGATCGAGATCCTCGCCCAACGAGCAAAGTAGATCGACATCATCTTTCACTTCTCTCGTTGGGAAAGGTGGACAACTCATTGAGCTTCTTCTTCGAAGCTTGATAGAAATGCTTTTCGTTTCGTCTCAATCAGAGTTTCCGTTGAGATTTTACGACGAATACAAGTAAGACTCGCTGAAATCCCCCGACTTGCTCCAACTAGACTTCTTGGGCATCCTACTCGCCCATTAACTCATTCTTTGTGTTCCCCTTTGAATCTTAATCAAAATGTCTCTTGCTTCATCTCGATCGACGTTACCGTTGGAACTTTACGATAAAAACCGCAAAGACTAGTTTTCTCGTATAAGTTCAAATAGATTGTATAAAACGACAACGGTTAACTTAATACCAAAGTTGTCTGAACTATACGAGAAATTTGAACTCTTGTTAAATCGAAAATGTATCGAGAATTTTCTTTCGAATAAATCGTAAAAACGTTTCAGTCAAAAAACGGGCCAAAGAGGTCTAAAACGCGACTAAAGACCCATTTACGATTTCACATGAAATTGAGCCCAATGATACATACAATGACGGATTATCTTCTCTTTGTAGGAGAAGATAAATGTCAAGTTTCCGAGGATAAATGTCAAGTTTCCAAGGATAAATGTCAAGTTTTCAAGATAATCATGAAGATCGAGACGAAATGGAAGTTTTCCGCAAAGAGATAAACTCGACCAAGAGCAGAAAAGGAAAGCATAAACCGCCTCAAGGTGCATATATAAGGAGAGGTCAAGACTACAAGAAAAGAGACTCCCCTAAACAAATTTTAGAGTCCTAAAACTCTCTGCACTTAGGAATTTTAGGCATTATGCTCGACATGTTCTGTTTCTATGACTGGCACTTGATTACAAGAAAAAATTTGCCCATGCAGTTCGATCTCTTGGTCCATTCTTTCAATTGAAATATGTTCGGCTTGATCTTCGAAAGGGGTACGTAGGCAGCATTTCATAAGGTTCAGTCTGAAATCAATCAAAACTTATTTTCGTATCTTTTTCGTCTTCTGTTATCGAGCTGCGACTTGAGTAAATTTAAAGTTTTAGGTTACTAGAACTATGTAACTCGCTGACATCTCTCGCGGCCAAAGCTTTCATAATCTCTTGTAGTGATTGCAACGCTTTTACGTGTTTTAAAAAGAAAATCTAACTTTCTCTATGAATTCGTTTTTGTTATCTTTTCATATTTTCTGCATTTGTTTGGTTACTTGTCATCGCCTTTCGTAGAGGATCCAGGATCACAAGGAAAGTGAGTTTTCCTCCGATTTTACTTTCCTATCTTTAGGGAAATCGACGGTGTGGATTCCATCTCCCCCACAGAACATGAAAAACAAAATCATATACACATTCCCTATAAGCTAGCTGAGTGGACCTGCCAATCAGCTATACTGTTAAGATTGTGTCTGGATGAGCCACGAAGAAGCCATATTTGCAAGAAGTTGAACTCCATCTGCAACTGTATCTTTGGCTCCCAAGCATTAATAGTCGCTTTAGCTCCATATTACTTATCTCCTTCTATATAAGTTATGACATGCCACAGTTCAAAAAACCAAAAAGGAAAACAAAACAACTCATATAAAGAAACCGACAAAATAAAAAGAACTTTGACGCACCTGGTAGCCACTTTGGTTGATGAGTTCCAATAAACAATTGCTCAAGGTGTTCAGTATATTTTAGATTTCAATTATATCAAATTTTTGATGTTAGTTGTGATATAGTGGTTTGAATCCAATTTAAACCTCTTGTAAATGTTTACGTTCAAACCATGCAAAATGGAATCTGAAAATGATGTCACTTGAAAAAACCAATTAACTGAGAAACGACTGCTATATCATGTATGCATTTAGTTCTCCACTGTGTTATTATGTTTTAATTCACATCCTCACATGTATTGTCATATGAACAACTCTGAGTAGTTATCAATTTATAAAATAAAAAAAACATATATGGAAAATATTTTATTACTATAATCACCTAAACATCAATACCATCTGCTACAATTCTTGTGGGTTCCATTGTCTAAGTTTGGCATCGACAATGCAGTGTGCTTCCTCTGAAATCTCTGTGTTTCTCAATGCAGCATCAATAGCAACCTAGATCTCTTCCATCTTTTTCCTCTAACATTATCTCCTCTTCTACTCCGCTCTTCTTGATCTCTTCCAGCAACCGTTTTGGGTTTACACTGGATCATTCTCTCTGATTATACATGCTTCCCTCTTAAGTCTTTGTACTTTTTAAATGATATTCTAATCTTCTTACCAGGCTATGCTCGTTAACCATTGATGCACACTCTGCTTCCTCCACCCTTTGAAGGTTTTGCTAACCTCTTTTCCATGTACTGGAAAATTGTTTCAAAGATATGCTTAGTGGGAATGAGAGAAGAATAAATGTACATGTGAGGGGGATGAGGGGGAGAAACACGGTGGTTGTTGTTGATTAAAAAGCTAACTTGACAGAATAAACTTACATTGTCTTTAACAGATTGGAAGGGAGAACGAGTGTCAATCTCTCCCACCTCACTGATCCGGGGAGGAGTGTCCTGAGGCATCACCGGAGCATCCCTGATCTTCTTCGCCATTGATCGTCTATTGACACAATATGTTTTAAGTAATGAATCAGCGAGAGATAGGAAGATGATTCTCAACCACAACATTTCATGTTTTAGTCGCACCTAGACGGTGGATGAAAACGGCCTGACTTCAAATCATCGAGTTAGCCTTTTAAAGAAATTTCTAATGCTATTAGGAATCATGAGATTTTCCAAGGGATGAAGCCTTACCTTTTTATAGTGGATTTCACCACTCCGAATAGAGAAAAAGATCACCGAATGAGTGATTGTTGTTGAATTCGTTAATTATGATGAATAAATGCTAACTGTAACAGCTCGGGGGAGAGGAATCGCAAACAAAACGACATGAGACGTATTGACACTTAGATTAGACAAGAAACCTCGTCACAGTCGACCTTTCCGGACCTGCATTGTTGGCAGAGCTTGCAGAACATGACGAACCCTAGAGAGAATGGCGGCTTCTCAAAACGAAGGTGAAGGCAACTGTGATGCCAAATCTTTGTAAGTTTTCAGCCCAATTGCTGATTTCACAACGGCCCATAATGCATTCTTCTGTAGTCCATTAAAACTAACAAAAGAAACTTGAGTTTTGCTAGGATAGAACATGTGTCAATTTTTCATGGATCTAACTGATGAGGTGGCATTCCAAAAAGGGAGAAACATCTATTTTATAATAAGAGATAGATAGATTCATTCTTTCTCATCATCAATAATAGGTTTTAGTAATTTGATTTGATCCCGCCTTTAATATATGCCTAGAAATTTCATCTTAGCACTTTCGTAACTTGTTACCCATTAAAAAACCACCTTATTATATTCATCTAATAAAAGTTTATTTTTATTATAATAACAATGTATGGGTTTAAAGCAACGACAGAGGTGTTGAAGCAAAGGGGTATTCATCACTTTGATAGCTTTCACATCCAATGGTCCATATCTTATATGGAGCAGTAGGTATGTTACTCCTTCCGTTTCAATTTATATATCGTTATAGGGTAAAATTTCTGTTTCAGTGTCGTTTTATAATTATAATGCAGAATTTATTAAGTTTATGTGATTTTTTTCAATTGATTGAAATGTGGTTAGATGTATAGGTTAAAAAATATGAAAAATTAAATATTTTTAATTTATGTGCAAAAACTCTAAATGAAACCTAAATTAAAATGGAGGGAGGTGTTGAAGCCAAGGGGGATTCATCACTTTGATAGCTTTCACATCCAATGGTCTATAACTAATAATTATATAACACACACTGTTTCCTTGCAAACGATAGATAAAACAAAACTTCTAAGAGAAAAAAAAAAGTAAGAAAAATGATTACGGAGCATTCATGTATTTTATTTTATTTCGGAGTAATTTATCTTTGATTTAGTCAAATTAATTAAGAACTGTAGATATAACTAGATTTTTTTCAAAGTATGTCACTAACTTTAGTAATAGTATATCACTAATTAAATCACTGAAATAAATATAATTAATTTATAGTAAAAAGAATTGAAAAATGAAAATGTTATCTTTGAACCATTATTTCTTCAAGGATAGTTTACTGTTTATAATAAATCTAGTGATCTAGTTTTTAAAAACTAATATGTGTCAGCAACTTATAAAGAAACATATCACACTGTGTAAAAGAAATCTGAAAGTTGGATTATCATTTTATAATTTAATTTTTTTAAGGAAAAAAAGTAGATTTTTTTGGGGCCAAAATATTTAAATACACTTAATGAAATAAATTCAACAGACGCAAAAAGAAACTATTCAAACTGATGCAATCTTCTGGTACAATCATAGTTGACCATAATATCTCATAACAGAAACCTCCTTTCAAGTGTTTATTTAAATGATTGAGAGATAGGTAATGGTATGAATACTTTTCTGTTGATTAAGAGAAAATTATCGATCTCATTCATTGTCGAACGCACCATTTTTTCTTTGAAACTCGAAAAATATATATGCCTCGACTTGTAAACCAGTCATTTGTCGATGAGAATATTGCAATGTTCTTGCAATATGGTTTATCAGAAGAGTCAGACCTGATGTTTTATGATGATGTTATTGCTCGAGAAATTCAACAGCAATATCAAAATAATTCAACATTTGATGACGCTTCTATTGCTTTGGAGATGCAGCAACAAGAAGGTACATACACTGTATAAACCAGTCATCTGTCGATGAGAATATTGCAATGTTCTTACATTATGGTTTATCCGAAGATTCAGACCAAACAGTTAATGATGATGTTATTGCTCGAGTAATTCAACAACAATACCAAAATAACTCAACATTTGATGATGCTGCTATTGCTTTGGAGATTCAGCAACAAGAAGGTACACACACATATATATATATATTGGTATAATTTTTGGTTTCAATAGTTTTTCTAATTTTTAATGCCCATAGTGTTCACTCATCACTCTGTTTATTACTCCATATAATAGTGACTGTACTAAAACAAAAAGCATCTTGTGTTTAATGATTTTTAACAAAACCAAATAAGTAATTACTTTTAATAAGACTAGTGTTATTCTTGTCATTTAAAAAACACTAGAAAATTTAAAAAATTATTTACATGATGCTGAAGGATTCCCAAGAAAATTGCAAGCCTTAGAGGGTAATCATTTTTTTTTTTTTGGAATTGTGTTAGAGGGTAATCTTGCAATGCTTCTATACACTATATACGTCAAACTATGCAATTTTAAATAGAAATAATTTTAAGGCTAAATTATTTTTAGTGAAACATCTAGAATTTTTAGTTCATATGTTCTCTCGATGACAAAAAGACACCTAATCATATACATTTAACTAACAAGTTCAGGAAAAAACATTCATAAATTAATAAATGCATAAATTAGTCACATATGATTTTTGCAAAAAATAGTCAATTTTCCTGGTATTTTTTTCAATTTTTTTAAAAGAATAGTTGCGAGAGAAATCCATTTTTATTTGTTTTTCCAGGTAATCTACATACCTCTCTAAGCGATGATGAAAAACTTGCCAGATATTTGCAGCAACAAGATGAATGTAAGAATATATTCTCCACCTAATCATCACCACAAATTATGATTAAAAATTTATATAATTGGGTTTTGTCTTAATTTAAAGAATATTTTGATACAAAATCAGTTCACAAAAATTTGTGGTGATGATTGTTTTTCATTAGTTTTTAGTTTCACTTTTTTATTTTTAGATTTTGGTTTTTGGTTTTTAGTTTTTAAGTTTATACTTTTCATTTTCAGTTTTTGGTTTGGGTTTTTAATTTTTAAACCCGCTGAGTTAGTTTGAACTGATATTACCAACAAAGAAATCTCAAATAATCGAACATCTAATTTAAAACTAAAAAGATGAAAACAATTTCTTAAAAAAAATATTTGAAATAGTTTATTTTGTAAATAAACAAAGCAATTAAAATGTAATATGTGTTTTCAGCTTTTGGTTTTGGATTTGGTTTTTGATTTGGTTTTTTTTTTTTTTTGCTTTACATTTTTTTAATCAGTAAATTTATTTAAGAAAAATAAAACAATAAATTATTTAAAATTTACAATTGAAATTTATCAAAACAAAGTGATTGTTATTTAAAATTAAAAAATATATTAACATGTTTTAAAGTACATGATTTAAAAAAAATGATTAATAATAGATTATTTTGTTTTGTTAAAAATATTAAATACCTTTTGGGTCTAAAAATAATAATTGATTTTTTGATCTTTTAATGTGAAAATTTTATTCAATGTTTTTGGAGTTTTTTCTTAATACTAAGCCCAAAAACCAAACTATATAATTTGTTCAAAAAATAAAAGTAAGCCCAAGACTATATTCCATAAATAACCACTCGTTTAATTTAAGTATAATTAGTAGATTTTCATATTCCATATTTTGATGATATATATTCTTTTAGAACATTCCATATTTGTAGGAGAAATATGTGTTTCCGGTATACACATAGATATCTGCTGTATTTTAAAGGTAGTTTACATTAAGGTCATCTTTTAACATTAATTGTGTTGGTTTAATTTAAGTAATACGGTTCAATCAATTACATGACTTATATTATTTGTAACATTCTAGAAGGGTCCAAAATTAAATGACAACTTGTATCAGTAGATAAAAAGAATGACTCCATTTTAATAGAATAGACTAGATTTTGACCCGCGCAACCGCGCAGATGTTTGTTTTCGTTTATAGTTAGTTATATAAACATTTTATTTTCACTTGTAAATTGGTATATATTATAATAATCACATATTTACGATGTATAGTAAATATTTTTCAAACATAATAACTTTATATAATAAGTATTTTAATCAAATAGATTGTTTCAAATTTTCTATATTATACATGTTTTTCAAACATGTGTTTGTTTCTTCTTCTATATTTTATTGTTTGTTAGATTAGTATTTCATTTTTAGATAAAGTAATATAAATAGAGTTTGATTAAATATTAGTATACTTTAATTAGCAAAGATAATATACTCTTCGAAGAAAATTTTCCTAAAAACTAAACTTATAGCTTCATAAATTAATATTATAAAGAATTTTATTAAAAAAAAAATTATAAAAAAAAAATTTTAAACAAATAATTTTAAAAATTTACATCGAAATAAATTTATCAAATATATATAGCGTGTAAATTTTTTTAGGGTATATAAATATTCCATATTACTAATCTGTAATTTTTGTTAATATATTGTGGATGCATTTAACTATTATTGACATATTTTCTTATAAATAATAACAGATCCTAAATTTATATCTATTGACATATTTTGCGTGACTAAGTTGGAAGATGTGGGATAATTTACCAAAACCAAATTATAAATATGATTTTTCATAAAATATAATAATGATAAAATTATTAGAGAGTTAATGTAACATAACTTTTTAGTAATAGTTTATTTTAAAAAAAAAATCACACATGAAATCAAGTCATAACTTTTGTTTTAATATATAAGATTTTCATACTTTGGCGAATATATTTTCATTTACCAATTTAAACTAAGTTACCATATTTCATTGTTTTATGATTCCCGAATTCTAGCGGCAAATTGCACGGATGAAGATATACAAGGTACTTATATCATGAATTTCGTAGACTTTCTTACATCTATATTTCTGTATGTATTAAATAAAAACTCCAACTAAGTTGGAATTTGTTTTTGAAACTATGTTGGAATTTTAAGTTTCTAATTATTTTCCTATTTAAAAATAGTATTTAAGTTACTTCCAATTATTTATTAATTTTTTCAGATGCATAAACGTGAAATAGAAGTATTATTTACTGTATCTTGTAAAGTAATTCTTACGACTTTGTTATACCTTATGATTTTATATTTGTTTTAATCTACAGTGGACAATTCATACATACCTGATCGTGATGCTCCCTCGGTAATAATGATTTTTGTCAATTTTCAAAATTTATCACTCATAAAGTTATATATGTTTCATAAATCTAGATAAATCAACTTGAATGTCTTTATTTTCATAAATTTTAATGGTTAGCAATAAAATTTCACATAATGTTATTTAATTTTCGTAATTCTACAAACTAACAAACATATTATTGATGTAAATTACTTACATGTATCGCAATTTTTTTGGTTTGAATTATATTTTAGACAAGTAGAACAATTATTCAACATGACGATGATGATCACTTCTCGGGTCATCATACACATACTCGTACCCTGTCAGATAGCCCATCAATTAGTGCCCTTAATCTCTCTAACAATGAGAACATTGATCCCGCAAATATGACGTATGAGGTATGTACCATGTCAGCTCAATGTTTCTGTCCAAATATATATGTGGTTTACGATCTTGAAAAGATAACTCAGATATCTATATTATATTTCTTCATACTTGGATAAAAAGGAATTAAATGAGTTAGAAGACTCCATGGGAGATGTCGATAGAGGTTTATCTCAAATGACGATTTCCAAACTACCGACCCATAAATATGGTGAGGAAACCAAAACTTGGTGGTGGCAAACTAACAAAAATAAATTCACCACAACTCAGTAAGATCATCTCTATATCTTTTATTTTGTTTATAGCTTCAATCCTCACTCCTCATTTGGATATTTGCTTCATTACAAACCACATTAACATATAACAGATGGTTATTTCTATTAGATACAAATTTACCATTTAAACCATGATTTTAATTTTTATTTGGGTATTATTAATTATAGGTGTTCGATATGTCTAGTCGACTATGTGATGGGTGATAAAATAAAAACATTACCATGTAAACATATCTATCACAAGGATTGCATTTCGCAATGGTTGAAAAAAAACAAGGTATGAACACAAACTCGCTTTGATCTTTCATTAAATATATGAATGAATGCATAATAACTATGTTATATATGAATGAATGCATAATAACTATGTTATAACAAGGTATTAATTTATTTATGCAGGTATGTTGCATTTGCAAAGCCGAGGTTTAATCTCTGATCTTAGTTTTTTTTGGACTATAATATTGTTTAGATTTAAAACAATATTATAATATTTAGGCATACTGTTATTTTTAACACACAGAATCATTTGTTTTACATGATTAAATGTAATATTTTGCTATACTATTATATTTAAAACTCAATGATTTATAGTTCACAAGCAATAATTCAATTTATTTGTTTTAAAATTTCAGTGATAGCATATTTGAAATCATGTGATACAAAATTCTAATAGAAAAATTTTATTGGTTAAGGATCAAAAATTTAATTGAAAATTATTATATTAAATTAATACCAAAAATTTAATGCTAAATTATACATGAGCTTAGTTATAATTACAAAATTAATTGGATATTTAAAAAATTGTTTTAGTTAAAATTAAATATGCATTTTAATTTTAAAATAAACAAAAAATTACAATGTATTTAAAAGTTTTTTCAAGTGAAAAATGAAATATAAGTTTATTTTAAATAAATAAAAAATTAATTAAATATTTAAAAGGGTTTATTTTAATAAAAATGAAATATATATTATATTCTAAATGAAAAATATGAATTTTTTTTATTAAATATTATTTCAGAGAGAATATAGGAATATTTATTTGATTTGTTTGTTTTAGAATCTATAATATTATTTGAAAAGTAAATTTGCTTAGCAAGGGATGTCTCACATCAAAAATTGGAAAGGTTAAAGTCTATTTTACCCTTAATGCATAGTTATATATAATTATCAATTAACAATAAATTTTACATTTTATATTAACAATATATATTTTATATCGACTAACCAAATTTAAGAAATTTTATACGTACGTGAATCTTGCTAGGTTATATAACCAATTACTCGCTCTGTTTCATATTAAGTGTCGTTGTAAAAAATTGTTTTGTTACAAAATAAGTGTTGTTTTCGATTTTTAATGTAATATTTATTAATTTTGTTATGTAATTTTTTTCTATTGGTTAAAATGTGGTTATGTGTATAGGTAATTGTGTTTTATATAGAAAATATGTAAAATTAAATGTTTCATTAATCCGTATGCACAACTCTAAAATGACACTTACAATAAAATAGATGGAGTATTATTTCTTTGCTCACACGAATTTAAAACTTTTCCATCGTCTAAATCTTTTTCTTTTTTAGGTTATCCGAAAGGTTAAGGTTATTATTATTATAAACCCTATTCATCTTTAAAGTAGCTACCGCTCATTTGTTTAGGTTTAAACTTATGTGGATTTCTTATTGCCTTTGCTTATTTCTGATTTTATTCATATTGAACCTAATATCTTAATTTCTTAAATGGTTGTGAAGATAAAAGGGATTCTATTGTTTACATACGTGTGACTGTTTTATTTTGTGTTCTTTGACCGTGTTTCCTTAAGTTTGATTCTGAATAGTTTGATCATAGCATCACTATTTTGTTATAAGAATTTTTTGGATCAGCCCAATCAAGGGGCGTAGAAGACGCAAAAGATGTTACTCTCCTAAAAATACTCGCTCCAATCACGAGGAGGTTGAGGGATTGAAGTGATGTAGTATTTTTTCACTTTAATCAGGTTTTGTTGTAGTATGTGTATTGTTTGAACCAGTCGTTTATCAGTAAGAAAGTGACGGAACTCGTCGTTGAGTTATTTCAAATACGTCTTATTATTTATGAGTAAAAGAGTTGATTTATTAATGAGATAGTTGGTGTACAAACAAGGAAACAAATAAGACGGGACAGCGTCACTCGGTGAAGTAGCCGGAAAAGCACAATTTGGAAAATATATAGAGTAAAACCCTAGCTCTAGCTGCCTTGTTAGTGAGTGCTCGATTTCAGGATCCCCTTCTCGTTGCTTCATCTCTCCCTTTTATAGTGATCTCTCTTCACACTAAATGACCTCGGTCGGTATTTCTTCGAAGGCCTCTCGCTGATGGGCTTCTAGGCCAGCCCGTTAACATGGACTTCTAGCCGGTTGCTTTTAGTCGTTCAGTCGTCGAGGTGATTAGACTTGAGCCGACTGAAGCGTCCTTGAGCCGAGCCGAGATGTAATCAGCTAATGGGCAGACTTGGATTGTTTCTGGATGGGCTGAGCCTACTATCTGATGGGCCTTGTGAGAGGGAGTAATCCACCTCCTACATGTATTGTGTGATCTTTTGTTGGGTTGTCGTCTTCCGTTAAATTTTAAATTTTGTTTATTTTGTTTGTTCGGGTGTCACTATTTTTAATTATGAATCTTTGGATATATATGTCATTTGCAGTTACCTAATTTAGTATTTATTTGTTGTGTGTACTCTCCGTTGTTTTTTTTTCTTACGTTAGATCTAGGTTTTGTTAGTTCAAACTTTCTCTTCATCATAGAAGTTCTATGTATATTCTGACCCAAAAAAAAAAAAGAAGTTTGAAATTTCGAACTTGGTTTTTCTTCTTTGTTTATTTCTTTATGCAGAACCAAAGGTTCTGAATCAAATGAATATGGAACCACACACTTTGGAATGATTATTTTTGTTCCATAAGCCATAGCACGAAACAGGTCTTTATTTCCATTCAGTTAGAAATGTCTCAATCAAGGGAAAAAATCATCTGGGTGATTTTAAGTGCGATTCGTCAGTTATGCTATTCCGACGATTTCTTTTCAGAAACCGCCCCATTTCGTGCAGGTTCTTCCTTAATTGGTTTGATAATGGGGCGGTTAACGGTGGTTCCGTTGTATGTGTCTTCCATCTCCGTAGTGGGAGTCTCCCACTATGATGATCTCTTTTGGATTCCTTATAAATTCAGCCGTAAAGGTGTTCGTGGAGACTACGATATCAAAGTTTTCCATCAGATTCTTTTTCTTATCAGATCTTCTCTCTCCCTCAAAATCATGGCTGATTATTTAAGAAAGGCAATTCAAAATCTCACCTTGGGTATCGAGGATGAAGCAGTGGCTTTTCCTATGGAAGTTTGTACATAAGTAAGGCGTGCTACCCAGTTCTCTCTTATGGGTCGTCCCACAATCCTGCGAAAACAGAACCTACGGACTATGATGACTGCGTTGCCTCATATGTGGGGTCTTGTTGGTGTGGTTTCTAGGCGTATCGTTGAAAGGAAGAAGTTCCAATTTGTTTTCCCTTCAGAAGAGCTATTGCAGTCGGTGTTGACCCGTGGTCCATGGGAATTCAACGAACGTATGCTGATCATGACTCGTTCGAACCCAGCATTGGGAGATGCTCAACTGAACCATATCCCTATTTGGGTCTAAATAAGAGGTATTCCATTGGAGTTCATGACCTCTCCTATGATCAAGAACATTGGTGATCGCACTGGTCATGTCTTGTTAGTGAATTTTAAACCAGAGATACTGGTAATGTGGAGTTTGTTAAGATCCAACTCAATTGGGATGTGCCAAAGCCGCTGTGGTTTCATAGAATTTCCAGTTTTATACTGGTATCAATACGCTACTGAAGTTCCGTTATGAAAGGTTGTGTGGTTTCTGTGAAAACTGTGGGATGATAACTCATGATTCTGGTGAGAGTTTTCCGGCTGGGGATGCTAACCAAGGCAGAAGTGACCATGAGAATGATCATGATGAGGAAGATGATGCTATGACTGAAGAGGAACAAGTCAATCATGCGGTTAATCACGCTGATGGGATGGAGACAATTCCTACTAATTTGCATCAGGGAGGTAATTATGTTCCTCCGGTGATCAACTCTGGTGGTTCAAATATGGCTTTATTGGAACATATCTGGTCGCAGGCTCCGATGGATATCGTTTATGAAGGTTATAATAGAAGCCTTGGTCAACAGGATTATTCCAGGAAACGTAAGGCTATGGAAGGAAATGTGGAGGTTGCTGCAATTAAGTCTTCCTTATTTAAAGAGAAAAGTGTGGTTGTGACAGAAGATGATGATGACCATATCATTTTGGAGATGGTAGAGAGATGGAGCTCTGAGTTCAGGTTTGGTCGATATGGGTCTTTCCTCGGTATTGATCACGGTCAAGATTGTATGAAGAGATTCCAGCTTCCGTAGAAAGCTATTTGTTGGGGGAGTTCTTCAGAAAAGCGATCTCATAGTGATAGGGTTATTGTTGATATGCATACAGTGGGTAGGTTGACAACGTCTGCAGAGTTCAATGGGTTAAGGAAGCTTCAGGACGATTACGGTAATGATCAGGAACAAGAGAATGATGACACAATAGAGAGAGGTGCGGTGGGCCCGGTACCACCAGAAGTAACATGAGAGTGGAGGTTTGGAAGTGTCGAGTCTTGGGGAAACGCCTGGCAGTTTGACGTCTTAAGGAGTTACAATGATTGTATCTCCCAGATTTGTTGTTCCTGATTGAGACTACGAACCAAAGTGATTATATTAGAGACATTGCTGTGTATTTGGGTTATGATCAGATGGTTTTGGTACCTCCTGAGGGTTTAGGTGGAGGTTTAGCTGTCTTTTGGATGAATCATGTTTATGTTTCTTGCATTTCTAGTGATGTACGTATGGTTAATCTTCATGTTGAATATAAAGCTTTCAGTTTTTATTTGACTTGTGAGCATATTGAAAGACTTGTGAGAATATAAAGCTTCATGTTGAATATAAACCATATCCCTAAGTTTCGTCCTCTGCTTTGGGAGCATATTAAAAGACTTGCTGTGTCTAGAGTGGGTCCATGGATGTTGTGTGGTGATTGCAATGAGATAACAAAACTTACATAGAAGAAAGGTGGGCGTTTGAGAACTCTTCACAGTTCTAAGGATTTTAATACTATGATCCAAGTTTGTGATATGAAAGATTTGCAATGTAAAGGCAATCTTTTAGCTGGGTGGGTATAAGAAGGTCCGAAGTGATTGAATGTTGCTTAGATCGTGTCCTTGTAAACTAAGATTTCTTAAATAACTTTCCTATGTCTGAAAAAGAATATTTAGAAATTGTTGTGTCTCATGACCACCGTCCTATGATTATTTCTATAGAATATTAACAAAGGATAAGAAAGGGATGGTTCTGTTATGATAAAATACTTGCTGAACATGAAGGTTTTGTTGAAGCGGTTACGGAATCTTGGAGCGATACGAGTCATT